TTACACTACATTACACTACATTACACTACATTACACTACATTACATTACATTACATTACATTACGTTACATTACATTACATTACATTACATTACATTACATTACATTACATTACATTACATTACATTACTACACTACATTACATTACACACTACATTACGTTACATCTCGTTACATTAAGCTACATCACACCACCATGACATACGCACATACATGCATCATGCACTGTCATGCACTACATTACATGACATTACATGACATTACATGAAATTACATGACATTACAAGACATTACATTACATCACATTACATTTAGTTTAATTAACATCACATCACCATGACATACGTGCAGACATGCATATGTACACTCATTCATGAAATACATACGTATATCTATGCTACCTACCTACCTACCTACCTACCTACCTACCTACCTACCTACCTACCTCCATCTGTCCATCTACCTATGCGTACATGACATGGACGCATGCATATAAGCAAATGGTCATCCAAGTGCATGGGCGCCCGACCGAGCATGGCGCGCTCATACAGCGTGATGAGCTTTTGATAGCGTGAAACCTGACCGGCACCCTATTTGGGTTTAGGGTTTGGGGTTTAGGGTTTGGTAGGCTTGGAAGATAAAACCCTCATAAAATCCTGTGCGAATGGGAACTATAAAAAGAAAGAAGGCCGAATGGTGAAAGGTGAACCCTAAAACCGTAGCTGCGGAAGGTTGCATTCCGCTGTCACCAGCTTTTCATCAACCCCGGGTAAAGCGTTGGGAGCTAGGTTCGTCGCTAGCCAGCGTTGTGCTAATGCCCGTCATGGAAGAATCGGAATCTCCATACCCCAGAGGGTCCATAGACACTACCATTATGGAATTAGGTCCTCAAAGACCATCCCTATTATGGTTGTGGGAACCTAATTCCATAATAGTAGTATATATGGACCCTCTTGGTACAGAAGAGAAACCATAGAGATCGCACAGTGCTGTCCGGGGAAAGCTGCTGAAGGCATTCCCGTCAGAAAACATGTTTCAGGGTTCCTTGTTGTAGTTATAGCGTAATATACCTGATACCCTATCCTAGTTAACATGGCCTATACCGTGGTTAGTTGGAGGCGTGGCATTTGGGGTCCGGGATTCGGGTGTAAAGTAACCCTAAAGCCCTAAACCCCAAGACCCAAAACCCTAAACCCAAGACCCCTAACCCCGAAACCCAAAACCCCTTAACCCCAAACCCCAAACCCCTAATTTGAGCCCTAAGCTCTACACCCCTAAACCCTGAAGGGTACGAACCCCGATCCTGATACAACCAGAGAGCCTGAAAGGAAATCTAAAAACGGTTTAGGGTGTAGGGAACGACCCAACTCTCCACGGTTCATATGGGGGCCTTCATAATCAGAATAGTGTTTTGCGGCCCATTATGCTATAATTCTGGCAAGGAACCCCAAGGAACAATATAGGTAATTGTTTATAATAATAATGGGGGGGCCTAAATAATCAGGATAGGGTTCGGAGGTATAGCATACTATAACATGCTATAACTATAATATAACAATGAACACCAAAATAGATATTACACCTTCGCAATGCCCCGGAGCTTTTCAAACCGATCGCCGAAAGCCTGTAATCTTCAACCCGACACCTTGAAGCCACGAAGAGCCGGTTGAAATCAGTGTCCCAAGACCTCGACCTCTGAAACCACCCTAAAGCCCTAGACCCTAAACCCTAAACCCTAAACCCTAAACCCTAAACCCTAAACCCTAAACCCCTAAACCCCTGCACCCTAAACCCTCTCCGAAGATCGCCGGCCTTGGGCGCAGGCCTTGCGTGCAAGAGCTTCGCAGCTTCTTCGACATTGAAGCTTAGGGAACTAATTACCCTTCAGGGCTTAGTGAGTTGGGGGGTGCAATCATTGGCTAAAGTTCGGGTAAGACTTCCCTGGGTTTTTGGTTCCCTGGTAGGGTCTTTTTGGATTTAGGGTTCAGGGTTCAGGCTTTTGGATTAAATCCCTAAATCCCTACACCCTAAACCCTAAGCTTCTGGATGTAGGGTTGCTAGACGCATGAAGAGGCTGAGCGGTGAAAAGCAAGCAAGCGCTTGAGACGTCACCTTGCGATGGGAGATGCTGTAGTTTGTCAGCCTAAACCCAAAGGGTCCACGTACCTAACAATCATAACAGACTCTCCCAACTACTAACCTAAACCCTGAACCCTGAACCCTAAACCCTAAACCCTAAACCCTAAACCGATAACTACCATCCGTAACCGAAGGTGGGTCCTTGGGGCCCTTAAAGGCCCCGTTCTGAAGCCCAGGGCTTAGGGGGTTTTTAGATGGGTGGTTGTCAAAATTATGGTCCCTTTTTGGGTCCTTATTATCATACGGCGCCTATTATTTAGGGTACCCCAAAAGGGACCATAATTTTGACAACTACCTAGATGGTCTCTGCGGATTGGTGATGGGTGCCCCGCGGGAGTCGACACAACCCAAAAGATCCAAAAGGGTTTAGGGTTTAGGTTTTTTTTTGGTTTAGGGTAGGGTTTAGGATCTAGGGTTTAGGGTTTGCGTTTTTTTGAGTTTAGGGTAGGGCTTAGGATTTAGGGTTTAGGGCTTCGGGTCGGGTTTAGGGTTTAGGGTTTAGGGGAGCAGAGTGTCTCCGAGAGCTGCGAAGGGGCCTGGGATCGGATGCGACTTCTCCTTTGGAAGCCACCGTGCCTGCACAAAGTTGAGGGGATTCCTAGATTAGGTGTTTGGGGCCCCTAAACCCCTAAACCCTAAGCTCTATATAGACCCTAGGTGTTTGGGGCCTAAACCCAAAGCTCTATATAGACCCTAGATTAGGTGTCTGGGGTCCCTAAACCCTAAACACCTAAACCCTGTAGGAGCCCTAGATTAGGGCTTCGAGATCCTAAGGCTCGGTGGAGCTCTGGGTTCCGGATGCGCGTAGGAGGCCTCAGTTCTGGAATTCTGGGTTCGGATGTGCCATGGCCCTGCCCCCATGAGCCGAAATTGAGAAGACATGCAATCAGGCCTGAGCTACAGTGCGGTTTAGGGTTTAGGGTTTAGGGTTTAGGGTTTTGGGTTTGGGGTTTAGGGTCTGCACACTTTAAAAGGCCTCAGGACTCAAGCCTGAAACCTATACCCTCAACCACAATGTACTCTAGACTCCCAAGCCTGAGCTCTAAACCCGAAACCATCCGAAACCCTATAATATAGCGGTCTAAATAATTACCAAAACTCTTTCAGGGTTCCTTATTATAGTTATCATAGCTATGGTATAGTATACCCCAAGACCCTATTCTAATTATTAAGGCCCCTACATTAGCATTATACCCCAGCCCCCCTAACCAGGACTCCGGTTCATGATCACACGGTTTAGGGTTTAGGGTTTAGGGTTTAGGGTTCAGGGCGCTACTTCAAGAAACCTGACAAACCCACATTTGGAGGTCTAGGGTGTTGCGGTTTTCAGTCTAGGGATAGTTCCTTAATCACCAAAACCTATTTTTGTAGGGTCCCTATAAATTCCATGTTACGGTTTATGTTGGCAACCTACAGGAAAGGTGGGTGTTGGTGGGTTTTCGGCTAAGGGTTTTAGGGTTCAGGGCCTAGAGTTTCAGATTTTTGGGCTCGCAGCTTCGGTAAACCAAACCGGCCTGGACGTGAGGGAGTTTGCAGGCGGCTCAGGGGCTTTGGCGTGGAAGCAGGCCTCTGTGCGGGATAAAGTATTAGGGGATTCAGGGAGTTTGGGGGGTTTAGGGTTTAGGATTTAGGGTTTAGGTTTTAAGGTCTGGGGACAACGCCACACAGAATTGCTGCATTAGGGTTCAGCGCTGGAGTTTAGGGTTGCGGGTGTAGGGCTTGGTGTGTAGGGCGTAGGGACGTATTTAGGGCCGAGTTCAGAGTGTGTGTTTTAGCCTCTGCAGCCGATGGCATCAATATAGGGGCCGTAATAATTAGAATAGGGTTTTGGGGCCAGTTATACTAGAATATTTATAAGGAACCCCCAAAATAACGTAGGTAATCATTAAGGCCCCTACATTATTTGGGTTAAGGGTTTAGGGCGAACGTGATGCGTCCTGGGGCACCTGACACACAACTGAGCATGTTGCATCGCCGTCGTGTCAAGAAAACGGATCTGCACAACAACTCTGTGGACTCTGCGCCGGCTTCAAGCGCTTCTGAACAAAAGTGGGTTTGATGACGAGGGCCGTATCACAGCTCAAAGCTTTCCCACCCAAAAGGTTTAACTTAACAGCAGCTGTAGCACCGAAAACCTCAAAAACGTCGGACAGTAGCCTCAGCTCACCTGCACTGCGCACTTTGCGCATCGGATACTCGGGCACCTGCCGTTTGGGGTTACTGCGGTGGAGTTAATTGTTGGAATCGGCTTTGGGGTAGATTTTAGATTATAATACAACTAGTTTACTACATCATAGTAGACTAGTTGTACATAGCGGACCCTCAGGACTATCAACAGGAATTGTTCAGGCCTGTACATTAGGGTCCTTGGGCCTTTGGGGGTAGATCCGGTTTGGGGTTTCAGGGTTAAGGGCTAGGGTTTAGGGTTTAGGGTTTAGGGTTTAGGGTTGGGGTTCAACATTAGTAGTGCTGTTCCACTTGGGGTTCCTCTGAAGGCAGCGGTTGGCCTAGCTAGCCTAGACGGGACGGCTTCATGGCCCAGGGCAGTTGGTAAGTAGGTTGTAAGTAGAGATGTTTAGGGTTTAGGGTTTCGGATTTAGGGCTTAGGATGGTTGGAACTAACCTCAAGAAAGTACTTAAGTATGACCGCAAATCAGTACCTACTCGATTTGTCCCCTCATCCCTGAAGCAGAACCTAGCCACTGCGCCTGAAGCCTTAGCCTCGTCGACATTGAAAGTTGATGCAACCCTCAAGGTGAGCACCATCCTCTTCGATTCACTGAGACCCGAACCCTATAAACCCTCAACCCTAAACCCTAAGCCCCAAACCCTAAACCCTAAACCCTAGACCCTAAACCGTAAACCCTAAGCCCTCAACCCCAACTCCTGAAACCCTGAAACCCCAGACCCAACACTCTGGTTGCGGGTCAAGGTTTAGGGTTTGGGGCTTAGGGTTTAGGGTTTAGGGTGTAGGGTTCAGGGTCAAGGTTTAGGTTACACCTGCATCCGTAAACCCCAACGCCCAGAATCTCAAGACCCCGAAGCAATCCCGCTGCTCTCACTCTGACACCTCCTCAGATAAAGGTAGACAAACGGAAAGGCAGGTGCCGTTTAAGGTTGAGGTACATACGCCCTCTGCATACTGATGTATCTTCCGGCTGAGCTCAGCAGGAAACTTGGTCATCAAGGCGAACCCGAAATCGCTGAAAACCCCTAATCACTAATCACACCCTGACCCCTTAAACACTTACACCTTAAATCCCAAGCCCTAAACTCCTAAACCTTTAAACCCCGCATCCTACACACTCAGCAACGCCTCGGGGAGGAGCAGTGGGCGGTTGCACCTCGGAGTTTCCCAATCTGCGGCCGATTCCCACGGTTTAGGGTTTAGGGTTTAGTGATTTGGGCTCTTGTTACGGGGCTTAGTTCAAGTTGCCACAATCAGGAAACTTGCTAGGACCCTGCTGCGTTCTCTACATCCCGACTTAGTATGGTACTTGATGTAGGGGCCTTCATAATTAGGGCACGGTTTTGGGGTCGGTTCTACTATACTTGTAAGAAGGAGCCCCCAAAATAGTATTGGTAATTATTTGGGCTCCTATATTCATGAAGTGCGATGGATTGATGGGGTACTGGCTTCAGGATGCGGCGGCACCGGCTTTATGTACGGCACAGGTGCCAAAGGCTCATAACCTGCGGATGGCCCACCTCGCTTTAGTGTTTGGGGTTTAAGGTTTAGGGGAAACTCCGCTGAGAAAATTGCAAGTTGAGTTGTCCAAGTGGTTTCTGCTCTCCACAGGGCACCGCCAGACCTGCACCAACCAAATTGCGGAAGAAGCTATCGATGCTCAATAGACGTTGCCCGACAACCCTAAACCCTAAACCCTAAACCCTAAACCCTAAACCCTAAACCCTAAACCCTAAACCCTAAACCCTAAACCGCAACCTCATAAAAAAAAAAAACAAGAAACACGGTCGTTGGGACTCACAAAGAGAGGCTTGGGTTATTGGATCTCAATTGAAACTGCATTCCCGCTCTTGACGTGGAGAGCCCATTTGGTTTTGGGATTTTCGGGTGGAGGCTCATATTTATTGATTCAGGTTAGGCTTCAGGGTGTAGGGTTTAGGGATTCAGCCTAGGCTTCACGATTAAGGGTTACATGCACTAAATTAAATGCCCCGGAATCCTCGCGACTCGCTGAAAAGACCCGACCCTACAACGGAACTGTAAAGCCTTAGGCCACAATCTTCAGCAAGGCCTCAAAAAAACTCATCGACTATGGCATATGAGTCATACACCGTGTCAAAAGCACCCTATCATATGAAGGCTCAATGCACGAACCTGCTTCTCAGTTGCTCTAAAGGCCCCTCACTTCTTCAGGGCCCCGACGCTCGGGTAACAAATCTGAGAGCGGGGTCCGTCGTGGGCGGCTCCTGACTTTTGGGTGGAGGTGGGATTTCTCTATAGAGGACTTCCTATATGGGTTCTACAAACACAAGATTCTAGAACACGATATATTAAAAAAACTCTCGCAGATCTTCCTTAACGATTTCTATCAGGGTGTAGGGGTTTGGGGCTTCGGCGTGATCCTCGGCTTTGGGGCGTCTGAGGGCCGTCTGGGCCTTAAACTAGGGCTTTGAGAGGTTACCCCCTGAGCTAAACTCTACGCCTTATCCCTTGCCTGACCCGATAAACCTGCTTCTTTCGGGATTATTCTTATAGCTTCCTTATATAAGTCCTTAAAACAGACCTGCTTCTTTAGGGATCATTCTTATAGTTTCCTTATATAAGTCCTTTAAAAGCTAGGTTCTTTAGGGTACAGGTAGGATCTGGGAATCCGTTCACCCCACATCCCCGAATGTTCTGCACAGTCGGACCCCATCAGTCACTACCGGAAAATGGGAGTGAGATCTGTTCGTGCACCTAAGGTCCAGGGTGTACCCCTACTAACCATACGACTGATCCTACCAGGAGCATGACTTCACCAATGTATATTGGAAGATCTGGGAACTGCCTAGTGTAATTACCTATGCGGTGTCCTACGGTACAATATTGTACCATGCAAGGTGTCCTCGGTCAGTGAAAGCTCGACTTCATTCAAACACAAACACACACACACACACACAAACAGAGGGTTTACGGCTTAATGTAGAGGTCTTAATAATTAGAATAGGGTTTTGGGGTAATATATATATATATATATATATATATCATACTATACTTCTAATAAGGAGCAAGGCTGGAAGGGCTGAGAGTTTAGAGCCCAAGTCTGAGGGTTTAAGGCGGGTTTTGTGGGCTTTTAGGGCTTGGGGGCTCGAGGGTTGCAAGGCTTGCAGGGTCATAAGCGTCTTGAAACTTTTATTCAGGATTTCGGGATTAGGGCTTCTTGGATTTTGTGCCAAAATCTTCGTGGGCTCGGAGTTTTCGTTTTTGGCTCTCGGCTGGCTTGGGACCTATGAAATTAAACCCCTCCGTGCCTTGGGGGGCAATGCTCCAAGAGGCCCGAAGTGCGTACCTGGCACGGCCGTTTCAGGGGTGCATGGTCCAATATAGTGGCCTTACTAACTCCCCATATTATTTTGGGGGTTCCTTATTGTAAATATAGCGATAATGGGCCCCAAAACCCTCGTCTATTGTAAATATAGCGATAATATGCCCCAAAACCCTCGTCTAATTATTAAGGCCCCTATAGTAAGGGGTTTCTTTCAGTGGAGCTGTCGGCAATCAACCTCTATCTTCGGTGAGGACTACTCTGGCCATGCAACAGAAGGGTGCATGTAGGAAGTTAGGGACTAAGTCTTTCGAGCTTTGGTTTCACTAATATCGGGCCTTGGTAATTACAAGAAGGCTCTAGGCTCTACTATATCCTAAGTTAGAGGGTTCAGGGCTTTCTGGCCGCCTCAAGCAACAGCACTCCAACAAAACAGGTAGCCATCTGTCTTGCTATGCCGACTAGAACAAGCAAACACTGCGACAAAACATCGTGACCACGGCAACTCAAAGATGCAAACTCGAGGCCCTGTACTCGAAACCAAAAACCTTGAACGCTACTGCAAAGCCTACGCCCCAAAACTCAGATCCTGGACCACTCCACATTAATTATGTACATTATTTATTTTGGGGTTTTATAACTATACTATAATATCCCCCAAAATCCCATTCTATTTATTAAGGCCCCTATTTAACTCTAAATCCTTGAACAGAAAGCCCCCCTAAACCCTAAACCCTCAACCCTCAACCCTACACCCTGAACCCTGAACCCTAAACCCTAAACCCTAAACCCTAAACCACAAACACCAAAACCCTGACGCCCAAGCCAGAAGCCCTGAAACTCCGAACTGGAACTCCCAAGTGTTGAGCGCCCACCTTCCGAGCAAATTGTAGGGAACTGAATACACCATCGCAGGGTTCAGGGTTTAGGGGTGAGGGCTTGGGGTTTAGAGTTTAGAGTTTGGGGTTCAGGGTTTAGGGTTTAGGGTTTAGGGGTGTAGGGCTTTGGTTTAGGGTCTAGGGGTCTAGGGTTTAGGGTTTAGGGTTGAGGTAGAATTCCCCTGATAATCTCGGACTAGGCTGTGATACAAGAAAGTACCGCAACACTCAGTTCTAGTTGTGAAGCCACCCTGCCCTTGAAAACAAAACTCTGAAACACTCGCTTATGATTACTAGGTTCCCCAGTAGCCCCTTAACAATGAGGGTACCCTTTTTCCTACTAGTTGGCTTTAACAAGGGAGCCCAAAAAGAAAAAGGGCGAAAGGGTACTACTGGGGAACCTAGATTACTAAGACCCTAAATCCTAAACCCTAAACCCTCAACCCTAAACCCTAAACCTATACGGAGCTGGACAAAACGTGTTGGGAAGACGGGACTTCGCCTGGCAAGCACACACGGGTAGTTCTCTAAATTAGGGTCCCTTTAGGCCCCAAATATAGTACGGCACCCTTATAAAAAGGACCGGGACCCTAATCTAGAGAACTACCCACATAGGTAGCATCTAAGTGTGGGTTTAGATTTTGACTGTGGGGGTTGGGGTTTTGGGAGTTTGGTTTCAGGGTTGGGGTTTGGGGTTTAGGGATGCGAGCACCTCACGACCAAGTCTACGACGACCGCTTTGCTCAAGAAATCAAAGGTCTAAGAAATGGAGCTGATCGACCAGCCATGCGATATCGTTTCGAAGATGTCGAATTTGAACAATTCTGGAGCCGCCCTTCAACTTGAAAAAGAAACTCGCACTAAGTACACGAGCACTGCCAAGCTTCGAAACAACAACTTGAACAGTGCTTCATGATGAAGGCATCGAGGGTTACCCTCACCCACAAAGAGCCACTTATGGACATTGACTGTCTTTTGTCACCATCTTTACTGTCCCTACCACCAGTACTACTACGATTTTCATGCATATTATTACCCTAAGCCCTAAACCCTAAACCAGTATTATGTTGTTTTCTGTAGTATTACAAGTATTGTTGTTTTTTGCAGAGATGCTACTGCAGCCCGCTGATTGACCGAACCTCTCGTCTTTCAAGGCCATGGCTCTCCATAACAAGACTGTAGGGGCTAATAATTAGAACTTCGGGTTTGGGGGGGTGTATTATACTACAAATATAATCAGGAGCCCCCGAAATAGTATAGGGAAATATTAATCACTTCCCCCTTTTTATTGAACACCCCTCGAATAATAAAAACACATTGGGGCGAATCCTCCCGAAATCATCGCTGCCCTTTAACACCTATTCTGAATTTGGAGGATGGTTTAGAGGCTCCAAATACCCTTAGAGCACAGTTACAAGAGCAAGAGCGAGATCAAAAGCAAGAGCAGCAGCAAGAGCAAAGCAAACGTTTTAGCGGGAGTAAGAGCAAGAGCAGCAGCAAAAGCGGGAGCAACAGCAAGAGCAGAAGCACGAGAGGCAGCAGAAGCAGGAGCAAAAGCCAGCGCGGGAGCAAGAGCCCGAGCGGGAGCAAGAGCACAACCCCACGAAAGTGCCAGCAGAGATAAACATACCCCCTAACAATAATGATAATAACAATAACAATAATACTACTAATAATACTAATAATAATAATAATACTAACAATTAGAATATAAAATTACAATACTTTCCGAGCTTTTGTTAGGGGTTGGGTGATTAAGGCCCCAATATTAAAACTCCTGCTACAATGCCTTCGCTTAATCGCAATAACACAGACGTACGCACCTAAATTTGATCCTGGACCTACAGAGCAATCTGACGCAATTTCCCAAGCGCCCTGACTAGGATTGTTCGGTTGCCGGTGTCGGGTTTCAGGATTATGGAACCGACAAACCCGGACCATCCGAAAAGGGAGGCTTTTGTGCTGTACGGATTGCCTAGTTTTCACCTCGGCCTAAACGCAACAAAAACCATCCCAAACCCCGAAGTGATCCCTAAGGCCCGAAACCCTGAACCCCAAACCCCAAACCCTGAACCCGACACCCCGATTCGTAGCAGCCGCGGCACCAGCTTCGAAAGATCGAACTGCCTCGATCTCCAAGCAAGCTCGGCCTGCTCAAAGATAAGGTTTAGGGTTTAGGGTTTAGGGGAAGGGGCTGAAGCTGGAGTTTAGGGGTTTAGGGTGTGTCAAAGGCTTCCTTTCAGGGTTCGATGAGGCTTTCCAGAAAGGGTTAGTACTGTACCCTACATCCTAAACCCTAAACCTAACAGGGAATACGGGGGGGGGGGGGCGCCCTCTATATTTGGAAGAGGCTTTAGGCGATCGTCTCTTTAAGGACTCAAGAGTCTCGGAAATAGCGAACACGTGCGTTCGTGCTGAAGAGCTGAACCCTATTTAGACCCCCGGCCCCGCGTCGCCCTTGTTGAGGACGATGTTTGCGGTGGTCTGATATTGCTGGTGATCACCATCGGTCTCCTCCTCCTCCTCCAGTTCATCATCATCACCACCACCATCATCATCATGGTCATCATCACCATCATCATCATTGTAGGGATCCAAATTAAGATGAAGCCGGCAGTGACGATGATGATGATGGAGAATCGTGATGCTGGTGTTGGTGCTGCTGAGGATGATGGGAAATTGCTTTTCACGGTTCTCTCCATAAATTCGGCAGATGGGACATGAAATTCAAGAGCGAAAAGTGGTGAAGTCAGGGTACACGCGGCTCACAGGGATCTGGGTCCTGAGAGATGGGTTCTACAGTTGATTAACGCCGCTGCTCGAACACAGGGGTGGAGTTAGTAGTGCTAGCCTTTGGGTTCCTTATTCTACCTAGACTTTAACATACCCCTGAGCCAACTCGTCCCTAAGCTCGTGCAACGAGCTTGAGACTTCCCCAAAGCGAACCGTAGGTTTTGGGGGTTGTCGCGGTGTCGCACTCTGCCCGAAGCCCTGAAACATAAAAATCGAAACCTTCAACCCTGGTTTCCCCTGTGTCCACCCATTCAAAAACAAGGGTACCCTGTTTCTTTCTAATTGGTTTTGATAAGGAAACCCAGACAGAAAAAAGGTACAAAAGGCTACTACTGGTGAACCTAGCACCAGAGTAGACCCTAAACTCTTATCCGCAATCCCGCAACCCGAAACCCCCCTCAACATCCGAAACCCCAAAATACAGAATCAACGCCCTAAAACCGAACTCCCCAATTTAAAACCCTGAACCTTATAGGTCTCAAATTTCTATTCCGAACCAACCCTAAACCCTAAACCCTAAACCCTAAACCCTAAACTCCAGGTTGTTGAACAGCCGGGCCTCCTTCTCGATGAGATCCGCCGTGCTCACCATGAGTTCCCAAGGTCCTCGGTGAGGGCTTAAGGTTCAGGGTTTAGGGTTTAGGATATAGGGTAAAGGGATTAGGGTGTAGGGATTATCGAGTTTAGGGTTTGGGGTTTAGGGTTTAGGATTCAGGGTTGTGGGTTTGGGGTTCAGGGTTTCGGGTTTCGAGTTTAGGACTACTTAGGGCCGGCGGTTCAGGGTTCAGGCAGTTGAAGTCCGGGGTCTATGGGTTAAGGTTTTGTCTTCGGGGCTGGGGGTTTGAGAGTCTGCTGGCAGGAAAGAGCTTTGTAGTTGTGGGGTTGTGGCTTCTGCTGGCCCAGGTCCCTACACCCCAAGCCTAAACCCTAAACCCAAAGTGCTTTAGGTTTCGGGCTTAGGCCTGATAGTTTAGGGCCGAGAGAACTTAGAGTCAGAGGACCACGACAGACCTTCTGCTTTTACCAGCGACCGAACATCGCGAACTGAAGCCTTCCGAAAGGCAACTCGATTTGGGAGTTTCCGAAAATAGGGGACCCAAATATAGTACCCTAAAGAATAGGATCCCTATTATAAGGACCCCACCCTAATTTTCTGAAACTCCCATTTGGAAGACTTAGCACAAGCACCTCCATAAAGGAAAAACACACACACGCACACATGGCAGCAATGAGGCCTGACAAGAGCTTTCAGTCCATTGTGGTGAAATCGCATAAATCCTAAACCCTAAACCCTAAACCGCTTTAGGGTTCAGGGAAATCCTTAGCAATCCGAAACTCACGGCCCGCTTCGTCCAAGGCTGCAACCTTACCGATGCCGCCGCTTCAGCTCAATGGCGCGAGGCAGCGAAAGCCTACTTTAATCCTTAAGCTACCATAACCGACAATTTTGTAGGTTCTTAATACAAACCCGAATATGGAATTTATGGGGACCCTACAAAAAATATGTTTTGGTAGGCTAAGGTAAACTGTAAATCCGAAACACTCTGCTATAGGGCCTTGATATGTCGGATAATAGGTCTCAGGGCGTATATTTATAGTACCATGTGTTGTAGGTTAAAGCTTTTTACAAGGGAACTGTATACAAATGCCAAATGCAGCTGTCATGTCCAGAACCTGATAACATCTTCTCTTCCAGCAACGCTCGGCCTACGAATGCCCGGAACTCTAAATCCTGCCCTAAACCCTAGACCCTGAATCCTAAACCCCTAAACCGCTAAACCCTAAACCCTAAACCCCTAAACCCTAAACCATAAACCCTAAACCCTAAACCCTAAACCCTACCCCTCAGCCCCCAACACTGCCAGGCTCCGATGTAAGGGCACAAGGTTGTGTCTTTATCCACGGAACCCTTGAAATACGGTAGCAGCTCAGGCAATATAGGGGCCTTAATAATTAGAATAGGGTGTTGGGGTATTTTATAGTACATAATTGTAATAAGGAGCCCCCAAAATAGTGTAGGTAACTATTTACGCCCCTATATTGGACTGCTCCTCGTGTTGAATCTTCACATGCGACTCCTGCTGCCTGTTTCATGAGGCTCCCCTGCTGTACTAGAACTTTCCTGGAAAGCCGAGCAGGGCAAAGGCAGAAAATGCATTTGGGTTTAGTCTAGAACTTTGGCTTTAGGGTTTAGGGTTTTGGGCTTAAGGTTTAGGATTTAGGGTTTAAGGTTTAGGGTTTGTGCGTGATCCGGTGGTCTCAATTAGTAAGCTTCCTCAGACCTTCTGTGGCTTCTCGGCGCCGGAGCTTTTGGTCTTTGACGTTTTTTTTTTTAAGGATTCTAGACATTCTGGCGTGTAAAGGTCTGTTCAGGCTTTGGAGTTGTGGAATACTTCGTCCCGCAGCGTGTTCAGAAGCGAGGAACCAACGGAGAGAGCGATAAGTCGGAGGCTGTTGGCCCGAAGGCCTAGGATTTGACTGAGGGAAAGTTGGGGCGGCAGCTGACTGACTCAATGAACTTGCATCCCGCAAGTTGCCCTCGGCAGGAACTCAACATTCATGCTAGCCATCATGTGAGTGCACTCGAGTTTCCATCTTGATATCTCAGGACCGGAAACCTAGAGCTCTTTCTGATGGTCAGAGTGGTTTAGGGTTTAGGGTTTTGGGGTTCTGGGGCTTCGGGTTTAGGGCTTCGGGCTTAGGCCGAAGAGTGCCGCTGACTACAACATCGAATAAGCCTGTCAAGCAACTACATGTCCGGCAGGAGTCTGCACTTGGACGCTTGAATACAGGCGCCTTAGTAATTAAAGTAGGGCTTTGGGGTATATTCTACTATAGTTCTATTAAGGATCCCACAAAACAGTATTGGTAATTATTTAGGCCCCTATAGGATTCTGAAACCTTAACCCGTAAACCCTAAACGCTACAAAGTAGAAGATTACGACCCCGCTTTTGTAGAGTATAACCCCTTTTTGGCCCCCAGCTTAGCATAAACCCTAAACTCTGAACATCACTGAACCCTAAGCGCTATAGACCCTGAACCCTGAATCCTTCATCTGATGCTCGGGCCCTTAAGCACGCCTGTTTTGTCAAACGGCACTGCTCTGCGCACGTGACAACAATGAGCTTTTGGTGCAGGGTTTAGATCTGGGGTTCATTTAAACGCTTAAGGTCTAAATTTTGGGGTTTAGGGTTTATATAGGGGTGTAGCGGACAGGTCCTAAAAGTTCTGGTGTGCATTTTGAAGGCCCCAGGGCGGGGCTTGGTACACCCCATTTAGGGTATGTTGCGCCGTTCACCGTACTTCCAGAGCCCAGTAACTCAGTAGGGGGTTTAGGGTAAACCCTAAACCCCACAACCAGACAAGGCATATTTCCAGAGCCCAAAGTACAAACTGCACAAGCGCAACTCTAAACCCTAAACCCTCCCTAAACCCTAAACCCTAAACCCTAAACCCTAAACCCTAAACCCTAAACCCTAAACCCTGCACCCCAGATCCAGCAACGCCACAGGCCTTGGTAAATTGGGCCCAAAAGGCCGTGATCCGGGCACTGAGCATCCGGATCTGAAAGCTCCAAATCCTACTGTAAACCCCAATGTAGGGGCCTTAATCATTAGAATAAGGTTTTGGGGGTTCCTTACTATAAACTACAATTATGGTATAACATACCCCAAACCCTATTCTGACTATTAAGGCCCCTCGATTATGCAAAATAGCAGCCCGCCTGGCTGTGATCCGTGCACTGAGCATCAGGATCAAGAGCCAGTCCTTCCGGGAACAGGGCTTAGGCTTGAGACTTTGGGGTGCAGGCTTGTAGTCCTAGCCTAGGGCCTTTAGGGTTTAGGGTTTAGGGTTCTGGGTTTTAGGGTTTAGGGTTTAGGGTTTCGGGTTGGATGCAGGGTTTCTAGGGCTCTAGGGTTCTAGAGTTTAGGGTTTAGGGTTTCTAGGGTTCAAGATACCAGGTTTAGAGTGGACTGCTCTTGACCCTTGACCCTAAACCCTGAATCCAAGAATCATCCCTTCTCGCAGCCTTGCGGGGAGCCTTACAGCGAGAGTTCTACACCGGAACGCAAGGGCGGATCGGAGGGCAGCAGGCAACACCACGATTGTCTATCCAACGGCCTTAGCAATCAGAACGGAGTTCCTTTCAGGGATCCGTTGAGGGTTTACTACAAGGGGTACTGTAAGGTTGATGCGCCATTGTTTCCTGTGTGATTTTGGCTGCATCAAGTGTGTTTTTACGTGGCAGGTGTGGGACTTCTGAATAGAGGTGGGCTTAAGACCTCTAAAACGTATACATTTTTTAGGAGATATTGATGATAGTAGGGCATAACGTCGATGCAACTTCAAGTACCCAAAAAATAACAAAACATCGGAGATGACCCTTCCCCACAAGACCTGACATCTAGTTCGCCTGCCCAGTTCTCAGAGAGTAGCCCAAGAATCAGCAGAACCTAGGGTTTAGGGGTTTCGGGTTTAGGGGAGCACAGCACCAGCACCACCATCAGGAAGAGAAGCACAAGCAGCAGCATGAAGACTAGCTTCACCCATCAAAAGTAAAGTAGCATAGCAAAGAAGACGAACAAATCCCAAGACTGAACAGCCTAGGCAAGCGACGCATCATTACCTCCCTCCAACCGGCAGTATCAGCAATATTGCTGCCGTTAGTGGCAGTAGTGATAGTAGCAGTAGCAGTAGCAGTAGCAGTAGCAGTAGCAGTAGCAGTAGCAGTAGCAGTAGCAGTAGTAGTAGTAGTAGGAGGAGGAGGAGGAGGAGTAGTAGTAGTGCGGCCAGCCAGCCAGTCAGTGAGTCAGCTAGCTCGTTACCTAGCTTCGTCACTTGCTATCTGTGTATTCATGTATCAGCCCTTGCTCAACACGATCCCTGACTGTCCAACCTCACCGTGACGACGATACCCAGAATGGCAAAGGCAGCGCCAGCCACAGCCTGCGACACAAAGCCCCTAAGCCCGAAAGCCCTAAGCCCTAAACCACTAAACCCTAAACCCCTAAACCCCCAAGCCCGAAAAAATGCACAACCCGAAACCCTAAACCTTGAAGCTCAAACTCGTGCACCGTCTTTGGTAGGATCGTGAGTGCATCATCTTACGACGAGAAGCAGAATGACCCGAACATGATCCGCCAGAGTCCCCTTGGCTGTAATAATTCGTATCGCCCTAACAAGACTACAGTGACTACAACCCAAAGGCTATGGTGATGAGGGTCCTGGGCAGGTGGTGGGGAAGGGTAGCGCTTGACATGGCACTGCCCCTCAGACTATAGGTTTAGAGGTTAGGGTTTAGGATGTAGGGTTTAGGGGTTTAGGATGTAGGGTTTTTTTTTTGATCTACGGTAGACGGACTTTTACGACCGCACTTGCCACCTTGGGCTCGTAGGGTGAAACAACAAGCGATCATGACGTTCTCGTATTCGCATCCCCGGTTGAAGCATATCCCTTTGTCCAGAGGAAGCGAACCAAAGCCACCAAGGAGAACGAAAGATGGATCTTGATCAGGTAGTCGACCCATCCACATCATCTCCCACACCACCACCCTCCGGCGACGACGAGGCATAATCGACACCCCACATATCATCATCCAACACCATGTCCATGCCCTCCACGTTCTGCACGGTGTCAGTTGCCCCATGAGTCGTAGGTGCCGTCATCAAGACTGTATTGCTCGCGTTCATCGGCATGGGCGTATCTTCCGACTCGTCAGGCATCGTCCCTCCTAACTCCGCAGCGGCAGGAGCATCAGCCATTGTCCCCTGTCCATGGTCATGTCCACCAGGTGTAGTTGCAGCGAGTGCGGCATCCATGGTGTCCAATATGGCAAGGAGGTCACGTAGTAGGAGGTAAGCTATGCGTTGGGCTAGCATCTCATCACGTCCCACCAGAGGTGTCGCCCCAGGTGGCATCGAAGAGCTCGTCCCATTAGGCCGGAGTTCGTTAGGGTCATGACGCCCCACCGTGGCTGATCCTCCCATTGTAGATGTCATCACCGTCGTGGTCGTGCTTGTGGTGCTCGGACCGTCCCCAATAATTTCTTCAATAACCTCATCAACGTCCGGTCCAACAAAGTGCGGGGTCTCGAGCACGTCCCATCCAGGAGCCGTTGGTATTGTATGAGGCACTACTTGTCCATCCTCCCCGAACGGCGTGGTGAGTCCGGAACGGGGCGTGATCGGCGCCCCAGGTATTTCAGCCAAAGTAGCCAGGTTTGTCACCCCAGTATCAGCTCCAGATGCTCCACCCGTACTCACCCCAGACGACGTGGTGGCTCCATCTACCACTGCTGCCACCGTAGACGAGGGCTGTGAAG